TTAGCTGACCTGGGCCAGGTTCAAACCTGCCAGGCTTGGTGTATGTGGCTGGCGCTGTAACCACCGTGCCACAGGCGCTGAGCCCAACTTTGTTGCCCTGGCTAGAGTGCTATGGTGTCAGCCTATTTCATAGCAACCTGAAATTCCTGGGCTCTGGCACAGGCTGGTCTCCAACTCCTGAGCTCAAGTGATTCGCCCACCTTAGTCTCCCAGAGTGGTAGGATTACAGGCATGAGCTACTGGGCCTGGCTCTTGCACAAGCTGGTCTCCAACTCCTGAGCTCAAGTGATGATCTCACCCTTGGTCTCCCAGAGTGCTAGGATTACAGGCATAAGCCACTGGGCCTGGCTGTGATTATTCATTTTAAATGTCTTATCTTGCTTTAGTACTCCAAGACCCAGCATATCCTTTTTGGAAAAGGTTTTCTTTCACCTGCAGCTACTTGGGAGGCTGAGGCAAGAGAATCACTTAAGCCCAAGAGTTGGAGGTTGCTGTGAGCTGTGACACCACCGCACTCTACTGAGAGTGACACAGTGAGACTCTGTCTCAAAATTCCTTGCTCCTCCAACCAGGAACATAGATTTCTAGACTCAAAGTGATCCTTAACCATCTAGTGATTAGTTCAACTCTATTCCATAGCTAACAGGAGCCTAGAGGGAATAGGAGACCTACCAAAGCTCATCTAGTTGAATAGTGACAAATGTTCATCATGACCACCAGGGCATCGATCTTTACGAGACTTTAACATCTACATGCAGGGGAGAAAATAGGTGTTTAAACTGACAGGGGAGATGTTTTCAATTTAAAACATCAGAGTAAGTTATTATAGCTAGGGTTCTCTCTAACTTGAGTTACAAGTAAGCCACCATAGTAAGAGCAGAAAATTCTACTTGAATTCTAACCTTTAACCTCATTCTAACCCCTTATGCATATAAATGAAGTTCTGTTAGCATCTTTATGTGGGGTCAACCCTGTTCTGGTGAGTTTCATCTTCTGGGACATAGTGATGCTTTGTTTAGGTTTAGGAAGGAAGGAGAAGTGGGGTCAATTGGAAGTGGATGTAAGGCAACCACTGGGGGAAAAAAGGGGGCAGGGCTCAGAACAGAATTTTAAAGGCACTGGAATTACTGGAAATGGTGAGCAAAGTGCCTGGATGACCTCCATAGAATTCAATGTCTGGACAACACTTTTTCTGAAAAAGTAGTGTTCATGATTTACGGGTTCTCATGAAAGATACCCTGTCTCAGCTATCAAGGAGTAATATACCCAAACAAGGCAAAGATGAGGCAAGATAATCACTTGGAATCACTCTTTTCCTTCTATTCCCAACTCCAAATCCTTTTGTATTAACCTCCAGAGACTAGAGGTTAATATAAAAATGATCATTAAAAGAGCTCATACTCTTTGTACCAGTAATTCTATTTCTTTCTTTCTTTCTTTTTTTTTTTTTTGAGACAGAGCCTCAAGCTATCCACCTGGCTAGAGTGCTGTGGCATCACAGCTTACAACAACCTCCAAAACCTGGGCTCAATCGAGTCTCCTGCCTCCGCCTCCCAAGTAGCTGGGACCACAGGCGCCCACCACAATGCCCGGCTATTTTTTGGTTGCAGCCATCGTTGTTTGGTGGGCCTGGGCTGGATTTGAACCCACCACTTTAGGTGTATGTGGCTGGCACCTTAGCCACTTGAGCCACAGGCACCGAGCTAGTAATTCTATTTCTAGAAATTATTAAGAGAAATTAATGAGATGTGGACAGTTTTATAAACAAAAATTCACTGAAATATTTACAAAAGTATATAAAAAAGGATTAGTTAACGGTACATTTACACAAAGGTTTTATATAGCTATTAACATTTACACAGGGATATGTATGATATAAAACTAGTAAAGACAGTATTCTCCCCTAAATTTCTCCCCTAATTATGTATTACAAAGATGAACAAAAACAATAAAAGAGTAGTAATATGATGGCAAAAGAGTAGTAATATGACCAAGTTGCAAAAATGCACTTGTTTTTGTTTCCTACCAAGTGACCCATTAACAAAAATTTTTCTTCCAAATCTCGCTAGCCAGCAGTCTTTATGTAGTTATAGAGTATGGACTGTCAAAAGAATTTCTTCTTGCTTTTGACAAGTGACATTGATGGCCTCTTTCCTTAAAATCTATGCAGTAATGCAATTGCCTTATGAGTTTACACTTCCCATATACATCTGGAAGAGAGTTGTTCTTTTTACTGATAGCAAGGGCAGAACTAAGTTAATGAGATCATGACTAATTCAAGATGGCAGCCCATTACTTGGCATATAGTAAGGTTGACTGAATAAATGCATTCTAATGTCGCTACACTGTCTTTTAAATAGCATGCACTGAGGTGATTACTTCTGTTGTTTCCAACTCTATCAGCTATGACTGCAGCTTCATGTGGTAGGTACTGTATTATCTGTTCATGCCAACACAATTAAGCCAGAAGCCAGACTCTTTCCTCTGACATGGGTGGATATGTTGAAATCCCAGAAGATTAAAACCTAATTGGAAAAATGTTCCATATGGTTCTAAAGTTGTAAGTTTTTTACAAGGATATATTGTTTTTTAAATACATTACACTGAACAACGTTTTCCTTGATGCCAGTTGTAATGAATGTGTGAGGAATACGCAGAGTACTATGATGTAGCCTTTGGAACTTTTCCTTGTGCAAGTGTTCATCTCTTATATACTAATACTATATACTAATTCCTAGAAGCAGTAAGAGTCATATTTAGCCTAATGATCTTCTGTTCAGAACTGTCTTTCTCTAGGCTTAGCTTTTAAAGGGAACACAGAAGACAGCTGCTTCTGAGTGATTAGTTTACCCTGCATAGAAACGGACAGGCTTCTCAAAAGTCTGACTTGGCAGTAGTCAAGACATCATTTACTAAGACAATGGATCAAAAGGTGTCTCTTTCCTAACTTAAGTCCTTTATCTTATTTGCAATATGCTTATTCACAGAAAGAACAAAACAAAGCAATCCCTTCCATAAGACTCCTCTTCTCTTTTAATTATTTCTGCTTATTGAGAGGCCTTCAATTTTCATAATTAGTTTCATCCAATTGTGCCATAGGTTTATGAAAATTCATTACCCCTAAAATCTAGGTCAAAATCTCTTTTAAACCTATGTGTGCTAAAGTAACAGAATGCCAGGAAAAATCAAAATTAGATCTAATGGCTTGATGAGACTTGTTGGCGGCTGCGTAGTCAAAAACTCAATTGAAAATTTCTCAGAAGTATAATTTCTTCTATTTGCAAACACATCCTATAGATTGAATACTGTCCTTTACTTACTTCAAGAACCTTCTGGTAGTCGGGATTCTTGTTTTGCAGCTGGGAAAACAGGTTCAGATATTAGATAGCATGTCCCAAATCACTGGCTAACCAACCTGGAGCCTCCCTACAAGCAGGTCCAAGTCCTTCCTGGTTACTTGCACAGTATGTATCTGTTGCATGGTTATCTAACAGAATTGTTTTGGCGGTTTCAGGTAAACTGATTGTATGGACATTTGCTTCTTGGGGATACCAAAAAGGGAAAATGGCAAGTTATGGGGAAAATAAAAACCCACCCCTGAAACGTTTATGCAGTTTCTGAAATCTTCAGAAAGATTTCAGGTGAAGTTTCACTCTAGAAGCTTTATGATATGCAAGCCTTAATTTCTACGCAGGTGAGGGCAGTCCCCCTATTTTCCATACTTTCTAAACTCTGGGCGTGGGGGGACACTCTTATCACTTGAGCCTAAGAAGATAACTGTGCCTTGTCATCTGTCATCGAGTGGTTGCTGAGACGGGAGCCTCAAGCTGTCCCCCTGGGTAGAGCGCCATAGCATCACAGCTCACAGCAACCTCCAACTCCTGGGCTCAAGGAATCTCCTGCCTCAGCCTCCCAAGTAGCTGGGACCACAGACACCCGCCACAACACCTGGCTATTTTTTGGTTGCAGTTGTCATTATTGTTTGGCGGGCCCCGGGCTGGATTCGAACCCGCCACCTTGGGTGTACGTGGCTGGCGCCGAGCCCGTAGCCTGAATCTTAAAAAAAAGCCTTGACTGTTCAACTCAGACTTCCTTTCTCTCCTCACTTTAATGCGATATTGACGTTACGCAGAAATGCACAAGTCTCAAGTGCATCTGTTTACAGAGGTTTTTACCTCTCAAAATGACATTGGGTCACAAATATTGTATTACTTGAGCCTATTCAAAGAAATTATATTGCTCTTAGATTCGTGCTCAGTGCTCAAAGTATGCAAATAACTAACTTCTCCTTTCCGAATGTCTGGGGAAGTAAACTTATTATAGCCGAGTCTTGAACCCTTTTTTCACCTGAGGCCCTCTGGCGTTCTACTAGGGGCTATCCACGCGGGGGGCGGGTGTGCACCGTCAGAACATCAGACTGGATTATCTGCTTTAGTAATTTCAAATAACGAAGGTGAAGCGGATCTTTCAGTCCCTCAAATCGCGAGGAGTCTTCCCTATTCAGAGCACCTTTCCACACTTCTTGTTCCACTTGTACAGTCTAGCGGAGGAAGTCTTTAGAAAAGCGCTCCGGGAAGACACGTTTAGTGTCAGTGGCTACCACGCCTCCCACGTTACAGAGCTTGTTCCCCTCGGGGCGGTGGGCGGGGCCACCAAGGCTCTCCCGCCTCAGAGTACTGAGTGAGTTCAGTTCCGATTTATCCAGCTGAGGTGGTGTGTAAGTACGCATAGCTCGGACAGCCCCAGCATCAGTTGATTTTCTGCTCCCTTGACTCCCTCTTCCGTCCGCGGCACGCCGCTCTAGTCCTAGTCCCTGCTCCTCCTCCCGGCATACCCGGCATACCCGAAAGAGAACCCTCGCAGCTCCCGCGCTTCTCTCCAGCCACCCGCAGGGGCCTGCCTTTTATAGGCATCGCAGCCAATGAGCGCTCTCCTTTCCTTCTGCCCGCCCGCCCGGCCAATCGCCTCGCCCCTTGTGTAATCTTCGGCTGCTCGGCTGCTCTCGGCTATTTTCGCTGTTGCTGGCTTTTTCAGGGGTTGCTCGCTCGCAGCCAGAGGAGCTGCTTTTTTTTCCGGGTTCGGAGCCGTTCCGGATGCTTTAGGCTGCCGGATGTCTGATCTCCGGATAACTGAGGCGTTTCTGTACATGGATTATCTGGTAGGTGTGTGGGGCAAGGGTGGTTGTTGCCTCTTGGATCTCGGTGCGCCCGATGGCCCCCTGCCTTGAGGAACAGCCTTTTTGCTTTCTTTCTTTGGGATGGGATGTCTTTGGGGTTCTTTCTCCTGAAGCTGTGCCCGGGAAAAGGAGGGACAGCTGAGGCTGTTGGGTGCTGGAATTGACAGGTAAAGGTGCGGCCCGGGTCCAGCCGGTCTGCAGGGCGAGAGTAGCGCTCGGGCTGTGTGAGAGACGGGGCCGCCGCTGCGGGGCGTCCCCTGCCCGCGGTCGGTTTCCTTGCTTCCCTCTGCGCTCCTGGCTGAGGACTTTCTTTCCGGGGAAGCAGGAGTTTCCCCCTCTCCCTTTAGCTGAACTCCAGGTGCTATTAAAGAGCTATAACCAGAATGGCTCACTAAATGCCTGGCAGCTCTGGTCATTTGGTTGTTATTAGATTTCTAAAGCTCTGACCTCGGTCGCGGCCGGGTTTTAAAAGCACATTACCATAAAGTAGAAGGGACTAAACTGCACCGCGACCCGGCCAGAACAGGACTGTGTAGGGACAGGTATTGCCTCGCCGTTCTGGTGGTGGGTGCATGCCGATGTTGTCCTGTGCAGGGACTGGATCTCAACTGTGCTTTTAGGCCAGGCTTGTGCTGAGAAGTTTAGGTGGGAAAAGTGTCAACACAGTGTTGGGACTGAACATCATTGTAAAATTGACTCGTGTTTGTGGAATTATGCAGGCATCGTGTTTTGTTCCAGAAATTATATTTCCTCTTAGCTGCTTGTTTGTGGCTAAGGGGATCCTCATTTTCATGAGCTGTGTTCGATCCCATGCAATTACTACGTTTACCATGTTAAGCAGAACCGCTATTGCCATGCAGGGTTGAAGGAAACATTGACCCTCGTGTCATCTTGTTGGACACATGCACTTGTTTTCGGCTGCAGATTGGCCTGGCAGAGATGTGCCAGTGCCTTCTAGGAATTACACTTAAGGCTGTGCCGAGAAAGTCTGTGAACGCTTTTGTGATCAAGAAACTCTGGGCAAAGACTGGTTTTGTGACGTTATCTGTGTATTTGGTCTTATTTTAATTTACACGAAGAAAATGTTTCTCCTAAAGCTTCAGAGCTTGATGATCATGTGGGGAATGGTGGTGGTTGTAGTTAATGCACGACCTTGTGAGTAGAGCTGAGTCAAAAACTGAGTTCAAGCTCTGTTTTGCTGTTTGTTGATAGTAGTAACTTTTATCTTTGTGATAAAGAAGTGTTATTCAATCACTACTGTAGCTGGGTGGGGGGTTATCTGATTGTGAATTTTCTTTAAAATGCAAGGTGCCTTGTATGTTAAAGTTGCCAAATGTATCTAAATGAACATTTTCTGAGTTAAATAATTGATTTGTAATTTGTCTTATAGTACTATTATTTTGTTCTTGCAGTTTGCCCAAATTAAAGCCAAAGTTTGTGGTGGATAATTACCAAATAGGAAAAGGTGACATTACCTGTACTACTGAAAGCTAATTTTGAATACTAAACTAAATAGTGCCTTAAAAGGAAATAACATCATTCTGATCCTTTTATTAATTTATTTACTGGGTGTGTTTTAAATTTATAAATTGCATCACAAAACTGTCGTTGAGGTGGTAAACCCACTAAGGAATTTAGTGAAACAATATTGATAACTTTGGTTAGTTATGCAGGTTAACTGTTAGATAGACATGATCTAAGGGTGAGTAGATGAATGCTTGTGGGCTCAAGGTTACCCTAAAAGCAGATTAATTTCTTTGCCCATTTACTAAAAGCTTTGTGTCAAAATCACCAGGCCTTAAATTGAACTTGGCCTTTAGTTTTACCTGTCATGCTCCCACACACCCTTGTTTTGCTTTTGTATAAAAGAATAATTATTTTCACTTTATGCATTTAAAATTCACAAGTGCAGTAAGATAGTTCCATAAAAATCATTAGTTACTCTTGGAAGTAACTAAAAAATCTTAAAGGAAACAGTTTGATTTTTGTTGTGTGTGCCTGTGAAAAAATTTAAGAAAATCCTTCAGTATTAAGACTGAAACAAAAAACCAGCTTTAAAACAAAATATCAGCTCTCCTGAGGTGGCCTTTTTGTGTTTACTTCTTGTCAACGTGCAGAGAAAATGATGTGCCACATGTCATTCCTTTCCCCCTGCTTTTTAGGTTGAGTTGTTGCTTATTCATACTCTTTGTTTCGTGTTTTATTTGTTAAGGGCCCTATTTCTGAAAAATAAAAATGAATTTCTTTGACTGCATCTGGGTTCTTTTAAATAAATCAATTCCCAAGTTCTTATTTTCCAGGAAAAAAAAAAAATACTCCTTTCATCCTAAGTTTAATTCCTGATTTTGCTGAGTGGACTAGGATAATACCTTTTCCATGCACTCGATAGGAATAATATAGCATGTGTCACTTCTAAAATCAGTATTTGACTTTCTTGTTGTTGTTGGAACCTGGAAGAGAGCAATGTGTGTAAGTATTGTCCATTGTTCTTTGGGCTGGATGTCATTAGTTAACCTCTTTTTTTTTTTTTTTTTTTTTTTGCAAGAGAGTGGAAAGGAAGAGGAAGGAAAGAAAGGTAGAAAAAGTTAAGTTTTAAAATAGAATTAATCCTATAAATAGGATTGAGATATTAAAAGAGGTGAAGAAATTCTCTGATCTTAGAGATTGCTGTTGATTTCTTAATTTGAAAAGAAAGGTTCTCTATTAGAAGTGATAGCTAAATTAAGGGGATAGGGATACTACTTTAATATTTAAAGCAGTGTTTTTATTCCAGTTTAGAGAAATAATGGCAATTTGCTAATCGTAAATCTATGTATCACTGGGTGTGGTGCCTGACAGTTGAGCGCCTAATATTTTATCTGTGGAAATGAATGACAATGAAATGGGAAGGACAGTGCTTTTTCTCACCAGTTTCTAACCTGAGACAAGATAAAATCTTGTTTGGATTAGGTGTTTTGTTGTGGGGAATGCAGAATGTATCTTTTACTCTCTTAACTTGAAGATTATCAAGATATAATTTGTTTAGCCAGGGTGGCAATTTAACCACACACCTGTTTTCTAATTAAGTGACTCTTCAGAAGCAGGCACACACCTTTCCCCTCCTTTTCATGATGGGGCCCAAAGGCCACACCTGCCAGGTCTGTGAATAAATATGTAGCTGCTCTCACAGCAGGCAGTACCAGCATCTTACTTTTCCTCTCTTAATAGGTAGAGCTAGTAAGACAATATGCAGAGTTTTTTGATTAAGGTAGAATAAAATAGTCGAGTTTAATGAAAGAAAACATCTACTGAGTGTTCCTGGGAGGTTGGACAAGATAAACTTCTAGATTCTTTTTATTTTAAAATTCTGTCCTGACTTGTATGTGCTAATCTGGATTTCTCGTTTTTTATCCTCTTGTGCTATCAAAAACAACAGTACAACTGGCTATAATCTGTACTACTATAGTGCTTATGATGATTAATTGAGATAGTGGAGGGAAAGAAAGCAATTTATCAACAGTACAAAGCTTGCTTTTGCCGTCACAAAAATTTGTGTCAGTGGGAAGATCTGGTAAGAGAATTGGATGAATTGGCTTGGTGTCCGTAGCACAGTGGTTACGGCACTGGCCACATGCACCGAGACTGGCAGGTTCTAACCCGGCCCAGGCCAGCTAAAACAACAATGACAACTGCAACAAAAAAAAAATAGCTGGGCATTGTGGTGGGTGCCTGTGGTCCCAGCTACTTGGGAGGCTGAGGCAAGAGAATCACTTATGCCTGAGAGTTTGAGATTGCTGTGAGCTGTGACACAACGGCACTCTATGGAGGGCGATACAGTGAGACTCTGTCTTTAAAAAAAAAAAAAAGAATTTGTGTCATTACAAATTTGGCAACGTTCACAGGATAAGAAAACAACCATCCAACTAACCAAAAACAGAAACTCACTACGTGCTAAAAGGGAGAAACTTACTTGAAAAGATGAGTAAAAGCGGCTCGGCGCCTATAGCTCAACCGGCTAAGGCGCCAGCCACGTACACCTAAGGTGGCGGGTTCGAGTCCCCAGCCCGGACCCACCAAACAACAATGACGGCTGCAACCAGAAAATGGCCGGGCGTTGTGGTGGGCGCCTGTGGTCCCAGCTGCTTGGGAGGTGGAGGCAGGAGACTCGCTTGAGTCCAGGAGTTGGAGGTTGCTGTGAGCTGTAATGCCATGGCACTCTACCCAGGGGCACAGCTTGAGGCTCTGTCTCAAAAAAAAAAAAAAAAAAAATAAGTGAAGGTGTGTTTGTGGTTTCATATGCTGTCCAGTTTTCTGTGATTGGTACTTTTTTATTTATGATAAAATTGTGCTGTTTCTAATCCTGAATGACTATGAACATTACAAATTGCATTCGTTATGGCTGACTATAAGGTAATACCATAGGTCAAATACTACTTCATCTTAATGTCAGCTGGATTAGATAGTCACATTTATTCCTTAATAATTTGCAAAATAAAAATCATGTGAGCGTAATAAAGATCTTCCATCTGTGCTGGTCACATAACAAAATGTTTGCAGAAAATCCACACCATTGGGGAAGAATTTTCCTACAAAAGACGTAGGCCTGACTCTCAAGCTTCTGTTTCTCGAGCTCCGGGGGAGGACACATACAGACCTTGATTTGTGCCCTCTAGGAGTCTGCATTCTGATGTTGCCTAAGCCACATGCTTGTTGGCATGTGGGTAGTGCTGGGGGTGGGGTGGGGAATGGAAGGAGTTAAGTCTGTGAGTTATAATTTGGAGGATATAAATCAGTTAACATTTATTGAGCACTTACTATTTGCCACACAATGTTGCAAGGACTTTTCACGTGTAAGGGCGTTAAGTTAAACTGAGACACAGGCAGGTAGTGTAATTTCTCCAAGTTCCCAAGGCTAGCATATAAGTAGTTGAGCTGGGATTGGGCCCCACCTGGAAATAGTTTTGTGGGTCAGAGGCTCAGGCAGCTTGTTAAAACTGTTAGAA